TTTTTTTTTAAATCTGACAAATACATCATATAATTTCTTTTTTGCTTACAGTAAGTTTTAAAACAGCAACCAAACACTTGGACTCTTAGATCAAGTTGGGAGTAGTTGCATTAATGAGAGGATTCTTTACACTATATATTCACTCTAGTGTGCTTCCCTGCTAAACTTTAGTTTTGCTGTTGTTTTTAAATATTTTGTTAAACCTTGAAAAATGGGAGTAGCAACAGTTTGAAGAATCGCTGCTGATTTAATATGTCAATATGGTATATTATTTAGAAAATTAAATCTAAGTCCACATTTTGACACAGAATATTGTAAGAGAAGAGAGCTCTGAAAGATCATCTCATCTACTTCTTCACTTTAATACTTACATCTGCACAGTTTCATTTGGTCTCTTATTATTTTGTTTTTAAAAACCACAGGTTATCAAGAAAGTATAAATGAAAAGGTAAATGTTTTATTACTGGAGAAGAGAAAAATGTATACAAGAGTCTAGATTCTTTCTCCTCATGCACTACTTTTGTAATAAATTCCAAATATCAACTTGGAAGATATTTACAAGGATAAATTTTTCTTAACATGTGACCATTTACGGTGTGGTGGACTTTTTCATAGAAACATATGCTGTAAACTAAATATATTCTTATAGTTTAGAAGAAGCTCAGAGCAATTATGTCTTAACAGAGAAGATGACATTCTATTTTACTGCAAAATATTATAAAATTGGTACAGTTTGGGGCTCTTAAATGTTTAATTACTTGATCTGAACAGGGGAATGAAAAAAAACCCAAAAATCATCAAGACAGGCCTGGCTTTAAGATTTTTTGTATTCAATTCGTTCTACTTTCACGTCATCTCCAATTAGTTGATAAACATAAGTGACCACTGTAGAAGCCTGGATATCCATCAACACAAATGACGGAATAATGTTTCTGGAAGAAAAAAAAATAATGTCAGTGTTTTGTATTAAAAAGTGGTAGCACTATAAATTACAATTTAAGATGACCATTTGGATTCCAGGAGAAATCTGTTATTCACATATTGAAAAGAACGATTACTGAAAGACAGCCAAAAAGACTACAATTATTTAAACGGTCACATTTCTCTTTTCTAAAATGTCACATGTACAATTATTAACTTTACTAAAGACCCCAAATTCCCAAATTGTATACTACTCACGTTTCCAAGGCATTATATGCCCCAGTGGCAGAACCTGGGTTAATGTAGAATTTATTTTCATGCTCAAATGCTTCAAATTTATGTGTATGTCCCGAGATAAGAATGTCCACATCAAACTGCCTCTGCAACAGGGCTAAGCTGGCCATATCTCCCCATGGAATAACTTGATGTCCATGGATCAATCCAATTTTGAACTGTCCAACAGTCACAACTTTCTGTTCTGGATAATTCAGATTCTAATATAA